TTGTCAAACAAATAACATAGATTCGATATAAATCAGATAAAAAAGCAATATTCTTGTTGTAAAAATCATTTCTGATAAAAATCTATTGTAAACTATTATATATTCATGAGTCATACCAACTTCCGTGGAAAAAATGGTACTGAAAGAAATTCGACACCCCCCCCCCCCCACACACACACGAAATAGGATTTTCGTGTTTGGGCAAAGGATATATTTCCCCCTTTTCTTTGGTTTGTCAAATTTGTTGTATGTTAGAAAATTTTTACTGACCCCCCCCCCTTCTTTCAATTTGTTTCCAATGTCAATGTCTGTAAAGACAAAAATAACTTTTTATGATATTCAGATTATGCACGCGCAGTGTCGAATTCACAAATCATGAAAGGGGGAGTGGCAGTTACGGGTCTATGTAGGGGCTCACAGTCACATTAAAAATTGATTTATTAAACTTTATGTATATTTTTGACACAAAAAGGGGGGCATACCTATTACAACTTCTCAGACCTTTCCAATGAGTGGGAAAACAAACTCATTGTTTACGGGGTCATTCATATACACCCCCCCCCCCCGAAACATACACACATATGTACCGCAAACAAAATTTAACTTCACTGAATGACATGAAAGTTTTCCAACTTTGTTTTTCCAGAATTTAAATATGTAGAAAATGTCTCTATTTTGAATAAAACTTTAACAACCAGTGTGTATAAAAGATGTTTCTTCGAGCTTGCCGTAAAGGTTTGCCCTAAACGTATTATCTTAATATTTTTTTTTACATTTTATTTCTCTTTCATGGTTCATTTAGATATCAAATATTTGATCCCCCAATCATAACCTTTTTACTACGGAAATGTTCGTTTAAGTTGACATCCTCACACTTTTTGTGAATGTAATAAATGTAGTAAATTAGTGTAAAAAAAATAGTACTGAAAGAACCTATCCCCCCTCCCGAATCAAACAATTGTTTCTTTTTGTGTTATTGCTTGTCAAATACTTTTCAAGTTCGTTTATCCCCCCCTTTTCAAATTCGATTCTAGGTGACTGCTATATGTAAGCGATTTTCGTAAAAAAAGACACTGAGCATGATAAAATCAACTTGTATTTGATAGTGGGGGATTGAATATATACAAAATATATCGTTTATGATAAATTTTGTGTATCTTAAAAGTATACACGCTATAACTTGCGCCAGTTAAAAGAAGATTGGAGACATATATTTTGTTTATCAATAAAAGTTATGAAAACACTGTAAATTACACCATTAAAATTAAACGCGTTACAAAGTTATCAAATTATAATTTTTTATTATCCTGCAAGGAAAGAAAAATAGCTATTTTTAAATAAATCCATCTCGTGACGCCGTCGCTACTTTTAGATTGATAAACACACGTGGCGTAAAGAAAACAAGGTAGGCCGTTTGAGATACTACTCACTTTTGACGTGGATGGCAAGTGTCTTACTTACTGGTACTTTTCTTTTAATGTATTCAGTATCAACCGTCTTCTCTGTTATGACGCATATTAACCTTATATTAATAATTGTTGTCAAAGTGCAACATACCTCGTTGTCTGTGATTTCCCGTGGACATGTGTTTCTATATATAGGCCTACTGTTTACGCACTTCCCTCAATATTCATGAAAAGATTGAATTCTTAATATTCCTAGATATTGCTTAATTGTTTTGTTAATACAACGACATCTATAGTACAATTTTGTGGAAATTATTATTTTTCATTACACTTCATGTGTTTTAAATCATTAATCATTTTGTTTCACACAAAATTCGGCTTTCATATAGCGTATATGACTTTAAGTGATTTAATCCAAAATAATATATTCCGTTTTCCGTTCCGTTCCGCTTTCCGTTCCGTTTTCCGTTCCGCGTTTTAGCAACACCTGATTTTCTTAGCCTCAGATAAGCGATGTGGCCTTTGGGCCTCTTGCATATACGTAGAAGTTTTATATATATATGCAATGAAAAAACCCATGACGTCAAATCTAAAATATAGGGCCTAATCAAATAACTTTAGCACTAAAATTTGGCGAGCTTCCAACAGTTACATATGGTTTACACATCCTTGAATTAAAACTGCCATTCTGACAAAGTTATGATTTTTACCAACCAATAGTTTATATACATGTATTATGTTAAAAAATAAACTATCATTCCTACAGGAACTTGTGGACATCGGAAGGACCCCCCTTTCACACACACAAAGAACGAAGATACTACCCCAGGGCTCATTTGACATATCTTCACAAATTATAATCATTTCACTTTTATCAATTAAGAGTACCATAAAAACTAGAGGTACTTTGAGCGATCATAGGGGCTCCCCATGTAATTCTGCAAATAGAGAGGTAGACCTATATATATATACTTATCATACGTCATTTACAGAATTACATGGGGAGCGCCTATGAGATTTTGTGAAAGTTTCATTAAATTTCTTTCAGTAGTAAAAGAGGAATTGTGGATAAGAAACTGGATCGATACTCCAAAGCGTATATAGCTATAGGGGACGGACGAGCAGACATCCTGATCTCTACATAGTTACCCTCCTACTTTTCAAGCGTGGGGGTATAAAAAAAATCTGGAAAACACACAAACACATACACAAACAAACAAAAGAAAACATTCCATAATAAAATAACTAGTAGTATTTACATTATCAGGGAAACTTTACTATCTTATAAAGTTATAATATACATTTTATAATGTTTTTTTTATACGAAGATGAATATGGGAGAAGGGGGGGGGGGGATCTGTGCACAAGTACACTTGTACCTGTATTAATTAAACCACATGCAAGTACATTTGTACCTGCATGTGGATTAATTAATATGGCCTCATCCAAAGGACGATTTTTCACGTCTTGCAATGGAATCAGAAAGAGCTGAACAGAACAGGTCGTCAGGTGTTTGACAAATCCTTCGATCTGGAGATCTGTATGCAATATGTCGAGACACGTGTTGTTTATTAGCATAGTATTCTATATACTCAACAACGTAGTGACCTTTCTGTTTGGCTAACTTTCTGGGAAATGTCAAATCAATACACTTGACGTAGTATCAGTGTTAGCTCACCTGGACGTACCAACTGAGCTTTTCTGATATGTCGTTCATGTTCATTTGTCCGCTTTTCTATTTACTTTTAACATTTTTGACCTTAAACAGATAATTAAAGTGGCATATTTTTAATGAACCGTTTTGTAAAATGAAGCATCTTTGGGAGACATGGATTCTTGTTTGCTAACCCCCCCCCCCATTTTAACGGGAGGTACATATAAAAAAAAGAAGTTAAAATTGTTGTATCTATTTTTTTCTCTCAAGAATTCACAAGAACTTGGCCAGATATAATATGAGACGTGTGTAAATGTTTTCTGACATAGAGTAAATTCGTATTTGTTCAATTAAATCTGCAGTTGGTACCCTGGGGAAGGACCAGCAATAGAAAATTAGAGCTAGTATTCCATAGTAATCCATTACAGAATTACATGGGGAGCGCTAGTATTCCATAGGAATGTTCAGAGAAAATCTTGGGGAATATTTATATCGCAACAATAGCAAATCAAACAAAAGTCATATTAATGTGGGAGAATCGTCAGGTATCGTATATCCAAGGAGTTTGTTCGAATCTTGAACCCGGTCCATAGGAGAACGGGGGATCAAAATATCTTCCCATCTATATAAGCCTGATTAGTCATAATATTGTGGAATTACCCTCACGTGTGTAGAGTCAAATTCAAATTATAACCCATGGAGGAAGGTTTATTGTCACTCTTTGGGAATATATGGTAATATTCTTCTGATGAAGAACATGAGCCCTATAACGTGACTCAGGTGAATGTTGTGACCTATGGGCCTCGAGAGAGAGCGATCGATCGATCGATCGAGATCAAGAGAGAGAGAAGATTCAACAAATCTAACAAGGATTCCTCCTTCTTCTTCTATATGAGTTATTCTCGTGTACTGCCACGCTTCGGACAAAGCGGAAAACCAATCAGGATACTATGCACAATAAAAGTATAAAATATTGTACTTATAGCCAGATGACACCTCTTGTATGAGTCCAGCTGTGCCTCATATTGAATGAACGATATAATAAATTCTTTTCAGTTGGCCCATTTGTGCTTACTATGCCCAATGTCTCTTCTAGCTGAGGAGTCTTAAGTATTTCCGGTTTCCTTTTCATTCATCGAGAAACTCATTCGAGCACGTGTCCGATGGGTGACCAATGACCGTCTTTGAAATATATTCTTATTTGCAAAAGTCAGATCCTGCTTTTCAAGGTCGTTGGAAGTGAGAAGAGATGGATTTATAACCCAAACCATTATTTTAACATGAAAAAGATATCAACCACTCGTTCCCTCTGTAAGAGTATCGAACTCAAACAGAATGAGGTAGTGCTCAGAACTTTGAACTGATATGTGTCATACGCCCCTCCCTCTCTCATGAGTAGGTGTTTACAATAAATAACGTGTCTATGACAAGCAACGTATATATAGAAAAGATTATCAATGTGTTTGTGTAAGAAAGATGCAGTACTTAGATATATTCTGATAATGATCTGACTTGGAATCAAAGCATGGCCTATATTTCTGGTACTATTGTGTTCTGAGAAGTGCAGTCGTATAATTATTGTTTTGTAGTTTATAGTTTTTGTAAAAAACAAAACAGCAATATAGTAATTATATATATATTTTACAATGATTAATTGGCATAATATAATAGTTGGCAAAGATATTTACAATTGTTTATTTATCTCTCTCTACTGCGAACGGTCAACAACCTTGTATGTCAGAGATCATAACAATACCAGCTTCCATTAATTAATTAACCCAAAAAAATAATTTTAATTAAAGTGTTTATGCTCCCTTTTGTACAAATGGTTTTTATAAAATTATAAGCAGCTATTTAAAGAATTGTACAGTTACTGAATATGTGTTAATTTGGCGTTCCATAAAACAAGCGTCCATTAAGAGGGAAGTTCCGACTATATCGATTCCATTTTCCCTCAGTCGTCGAATGGGAAACACGCGTTGTTTTTACCCACTCTGAATAAAAACTAAACTAACAAGGAAACAGCAAAATGAACGAAATTGAGAGAAATGGTGAACTTATCTGTGAAAAGGAATGTTTAGAGGAGAAAGAGGTATGTGTTCATTTTTTTTTTTTTCAAAGAATTTATTTTATGTTTTTCTTTCTTTCTGAAATATCGATCTTAGGGTGGCGTGCACCTCAATGTCAGCATATTAGTTCCTTATAGTAAGCGTTTTTATGATACCTGATTATAATAATTTATGGGAGGATGTTCTTTGTTTTCGTTGAAAAAAGATTGTTGTATCAAAGACATTGCACATGTTGTGAACAACCGAGGAATGGGGAACTTGTGTTTAACTCTGTTTAAATTTCCTTCTAAACTGAGCTAATGCCATTCAAAAGAACTATGGAATAGTTTCGCTAAAAAAAAAAAAAAAAAAAAAAAAAGGAAAAAATTCAGCACAATTTAAAAACAATTGACGTTCTGTGTGTGCACGTGTGTTAGTGTGTGTGTTTTTTAATTTCATAACCAATTTACGTGGAATAAAATCGCCCTGAATAAAAGAAAACAACTTGTGAGCTAAGCCGATACAAAGGAATAAATTTAATTACAGAAAGTGATGATAGATAGTGATGAATCTGTCTCTACCGGGAGCAGCGGGGGGTCAGAGAGTGGGGATGAAAATGTGGGTCGGGGCAACTGGTCAGGTCGTCTGGACTTCTTCCTGTCCTGTGTGGGTTATGCCGTGGGACTCGGAAACATTTGGAGGTTCCCGTATCTATGTTACCAGAGCGGAGGAGGTAGGGAGAAGTTTATTTTAATTCAAATAAAAAATATGTTTTAAAAAATGAAATTAATAATATTAAAAAAATACTTTTTGACAGGGGCTTTTCTGATCCCATATGTGATTTTCCTTGTCTTGTGTGGAATGCCATTATTCTTCTTAGAGATCAGCTACGGACAATTCGCCAGTCTGAGTCCGATCACGGTGTGGAGAATGTCCCCACTGTTTAAAGGTTAGTCTCACAAAACGAACACTCCATTTAATATTGTCTGGTGCTCAGCACGATGAGTCATATCGGGAGATTTTTGAGTGCAGAACAATGGTCTATCTCCACAGAAAGATTTTGATTATAAGACATGGTAACCGTACACCCGTTCTTTGAAACCATCTTGATAATGAGATTGCCATTAATTCCCAACGTCAAATAAAACTCATTCAAGTTTGGTAGTGGATTCCAGATGTAAGAATAAACGAAGAAATTGACATGACGAACTTTCTAATTTATTCCATTTGTTAATATCCTTTCCACATGGTCTGTGATTAAAAATAAGGAGGAGGGGGCTAAATTTGACACTGAAACAATTCATAGGTCATTAGCATTACCCTCCCCCCGCCTAAGCTGATAGGGAAATCTAATCAAGATGACACGACACGCATATATTTATAAGGAAAAAAAGCTTCTTAATCACCTGTCGCTGTGTAATTACATGTATAAATTAAAGGAAGAAATATTTGCATGTCCAGTATATTTTTCATATAATTTTTATAATCATACAGTGATGTCGGATTATGGAAATGAAAATGATCTTAGTACTAAATATTACTATTACACGTATATGGTTGGCCGTTCTACTCACAATTATTTCTTTTTACTCCAATAAAATTATTTTTACTGCAGTAAAAATAAAAAACTGGCCATTGCTACTCACAATTAAAGTATTTTTACTCCAGTAAAAATAATTTACTCTTATTTTATTTATTATAGTTTATTATGATACCCCCCCCCCCCAAAAAAACCCAATCAGAAACAAAAAACGACGCCAGTTTTACCTTGCCCCTCATCCCCCCCTCCCCGTTATTCAGTTTTAACTATGACAGAATCATATCTCAAAGCTGAAATTGGACAAAAATTATGAGGGAACTTATCCAGATATAATGATCACTGAATACAAACATACAATACTTCGTCAACAAAAGTTACAGCCTAAAGAGAAATCGTTTGTGAAGAAATCTCTCATGTTTGTATTATTGCGTAAAGATCGTTAAGATGCTTTCAAAACGTGTGAAAAAAAAATACTGGTTTGGTAAACTATTTATATTAGATTTTATTACCAATGTTGTATCACTCTTGGGTCTATCCTGCGTTTTATTATCTATCAACATAGGGTCAGTGGCCACCAATCTGCCAAGCTGAAAGTTCCACTGTGAGTATAATTATACGAGAAGCGCCAATCACTCACGGGAATACAAATTAGTTTATTTCACTAATCTCAACTTAGCTAGATGGATGCTTAGTTGGAGTGCGTGAGTCTCACACTAAATACTGCGCAGCTGTTGAAAATAAACACGAATTTTAGTTCCGATCGGATTTGGGTTACAATCGAACATGCTGATCTAGTTTTGACATTACATGCCATGAAAAGGCATGAATGTGATGATATATTTATCATGTTTTATGAATTCAAAAGTTCAAAACAATGAATGTATTTGTCCTGAAATAAAAAAAAATTAAAGCAAACAGGGAACGATATATTCTATATATCATAGGTGCTTTGGGACGGTCACGACCCCCCATACCCCCATGTTTCGTAACCCCCCACCCCCCACCCCGAGATTCTTGACTTTTTATAATAATTTTTTATGACATATTCAAAAAGTTTTTCAACTGAAAAAAAAAAACCCTGGGATTAATTATCTTGCTTTCTGCAGAAAATTTAGAGGCTTATCTTTATCTGTCACATGAATATTTATGAACACCTTTGTCTGCAACTGATGTTTGTTTTGAAGTTGAGGTCAACCCTGGTTGATATTTGCATTCAGTGAAAGCTTGCATTTAGAAAACACCTGCTTAAATTTTTTTGAAATACACATTTAATTGAGTTTATATATACATGAGGTTTTCCCTGTTTTATGTAAATACAAGCTAGGTTACTATTAACAGGTTTTTGGACATTCAGGAATTATCTTGAAATTTTAAAAATACAGTAGTTGCTTATATTCTTCATATTGTTTTTTTTTTTAAATGTAATCAATTAAAATCCCCCTTCCATGAGCTGCACCCCTATATTCATACCCCTCAGTGGGGCCCTTGCTGACTGGCAAGACTTGCTGACTGACTAGTTTTTACTAATTCATAATTATTTCCCCCTAAATTTGGCGTAGCTCTTCATTTCTCCTTCACCCATGGGTACTTTGTTGCAAGTTTTGTTGAAATCGGTCCTGTGGTTTTTGAGAAGAAGATGAAAATGTGAGAAGTTAACGACGACAGACAACAGACAAATATTGATCAGAAAAGATCACTTGAGCCTTCGGCTCAGGTGAGCTAAAAATCATGACGTTAAATTTTATTCGAGATCGGAATTCCTAAATTAATTTTCAATATTGGCGCTAAACTGAATGACAGACAGGAGAGGAATGATAAGAGGACGGTCACCACATAGGCACATACCCACCGTTTTGACAACCTGTAACCTTTTTTAATCACATTTGCAGTTTAACAACCCATGGACAAGCACTTCAAAAACATTTTACGGACACTTATAATTTGCTAAACCTGTAAAAGTTAACTTAGAGAGAAATAGATAGAATGTTCTATCGTTAAAATGATATTGTCCTACGGACCCGGTTTAACGATAGAATTCGTTCCGGGTATTCGTAATGTAGCAAAAAGAAACACGGGCTGAACAATCTAGAGAGTTCCGAATGTAAACATGGAGGTAATTTGAATCGAGAGAAAAACGTTGAGAAAATTAATTGGATTTTCGTATTTATATGGATTATTTTGGGGGATAAAAGGCATAAGCAATCTCAAAAAGGTTTGTTTTGATTATTTTGGTAGCACTGTGCAAATCATTTTATACAAAATCGTTTCGGAGCGGATCCGCACTTCGCTACATTGCAAGTATAAATTCTAACTGTGGTGAGGGCTTGTACCGAGACACAGTTAGATTATTCTAACTAAGAGAGAAAGAGCAGAAGAGCACTGATACAGTGTACGTATCTACATAAATAGCGAATCGCCAGACATTTGATTTGACCAACTAAAGGTAACTGGTTTTCATGCAGGATTCTAGGCCTAATTGTAAACTTTTCATACACAACTGTTTCAGAAAGTTCATTTGATTTCACTTAGATCAGACATTGCTGAAATTCAACTTTAGATCTAGTTTTTTTCTCAGATATTCTGCACTCATTATCATGATTATTGGATAGCTTTGTCAATCTTTTAGAAAGTTCAATTACAATCAAACTGTAGTATGGAAAGGTGGAATATGAGCACACATACTTTGAAAATTCATTAATGCATATATAATGAAAACATATGGCTGGATTGGAAACTAACCTGGGACCCGATGTCCTCATTCCAGCCAAATTCCTACAAAACAGTTTAAGATTTGAAAAAAGATTGTATAATGTCATGAAAGTCTTATAGAGAGGGAAACAAATGACATACAGGATAGTGGCGGATTCAGGGGGGGGTTGGGGGGTTGGGGGGGGTTCGAGAAAAGCCCCCCGCTCATTGATTTTTTTTTTTTTAGAAGTGTCATTTTATAATTTTGTTGCATTGATAAGACTCTAATAAACACGAACCCTTTGTTCTGTATAACTGTGAAATATACATCAACTACGTAACAGGAAATCACTTTCCGCTTGAACGCACACAATACACAGGTAATCAACAGAGAGAGAGTGCCTTAGAGATCGGGTAGTCCGTGCATCTAGTGAAGTCACAAGATCATATACATGAACAGTACAATGTAGTCAGGAACCAACAACAGAAAACTGCATAGTTACCATGATGCTCAGTTATAGTCTTATGCTGATAAACTGCATGAATTATTTTACTATGTGAATAAACAAGTATTGAGGGTTTTTTTACCGTTTAAAAAAATTGATACATTTTTTTCTTTTTTTACAAAATCAGGTTGGCTTAGCAAATCCCTCTAAATTTGAAAAATTCTTCAGTTTATGTAATTTTTTTTTCTTCAGTTTGAAATATCATTAATTGTACATGTCTATATTGCAAATCATGACAGTATATACTCAAGTAAGTTGAAAACCACTAGTTAGGGGTTCTAATAAGAATTAATTTTTTTTAAGTGTTTAAAATTGGACATCAGTTGTATCTTGGAAATCAGCTTGACATACAACTAAATTAATTAATTGAAAGTGATTTAAACAGTCTTCACGAAAACTCACTAGCCCGACGCCCGAGGCTAGTAAAAATTGGTCTGGGCTAGTAAAAATTGTTTCAGAAGTAGCCCGACTGGCTAGTGAAAAGTAAGCAGGTACTTTCAGAGTTTTTGCTTTTAAATCTTAACCAATAAATAAAATCAAAGCACTGTAGTCTTATTCTTCAGAAAAGTGCCTCATCTAACTCACGTAGCACTACTTAATAGTTTATTTTTCCATAAAAACGATCGTCTTTTTTCTCTAATCCGAATTTCCTCTGTTCGATCTTTTACGGTAAATACATGCAGAAATCCCATTGAATTAGGCCTAACTATGATTATTCATTTAATTGAAGAGTAAAGGATTACAAGAGTTAACTATGTTAACTGTTAATATCCAAATTTATAACAATGTATCTGTAAATTTTAATAATATGGAAAAAAAAAATCACTTCTTTGGAAGGGAAGTCTAAGACCAGAAAAGGGGCTAATGTACAATACATGTACATTATCAAAAAGCTTTTAAAAAACTTGTTTGTTCAAATTAATTTAATCTTTATTAATGATAACTTATTTATTTATGATTTAAATGAGGGGAAAAACAAAATAATTAAGCAGAAGAAATACAAAAGAAAAGGAATTCAGTATGAAATTTAAATGGAATAGAGTGATACAACAGTTAATTCTGCAATTTCATTTTTTTTTTTTCGTTGGCTATTAAAAATTTCTTTGGGCTAGTAATACTGTCAAATCCACTAGCCCTACTGGCTAGTGTCTCAGAAAAGTTTTCGTGAAGACTGTTTAAAGAGTGAAGACAACTTAAAGTCAACTGCTTGTATTCCTAAAATTGTCAGATTTAATATTTTTTAAAAGCAAAGTCTAAAGTCTTGTGATGATCAGTCTTTAAAAAAGCTACAAAAAGTACCCCAAAAATGCTGGAAAATGCACCATTTAGAACCATTTAAAACAAAAATAAAAGTCTGAAGTTTTTGTTAAAGTTAAATTAATCTGAAACATTTTATTTTTCCAAATTCTTTAAAAAATTGTGATGATCAGTCTTTTAAAAATGGCTACAAAAATAGCTCAAAATACTGGAAAATGCACCATTTAGAGCCATTTAAAGCGAAATTTTCCCGAACCCCCACCTATGGGAGGGGGACACCCCCACCCTGCCCTCCCCCTTTGGGCCTCAAACCCCCCCCCCCCACATGAACTTCAGGATCCACCACTGCAGGACCATTGAACTCAAAAGTGTGAAAGGCAAAACTAAGGACTTCAGGAACTCTTAAAAGGTTCACATAGTCTATGAGATCTTCCTTCCTGTTGCCAATCTATTGAATTATTGAAACTTTTGTGGAAACTTTCAGTAAATTGGATGCATTTTTAAACACTTGTAAACATTATTGTGTAATGCTTAACGGAATTGGCAAACAGTCAATCTGAATGTTTGTTTTATGAAGAAAAAATTGAAACATTATTTTGTAATCTATGTGTGTTTACGTGCTTGGAAGTGCAAGTTTCAACAGGGATGGAAATCTTAAGTACCTAAACTCAGCATAGTTCCTTATAATTAGCAACATACATAATATAATCTTACATACATGTACATTGAAATTAAAAAGTTGTGTTATGGCATCATAAATTCAAATTACGTACCATTCACATATGGTAATTATTTTAAATTGTTCATCACAAAAAATTCAAAAATATTTATGAAGGGTGTACGTATGTGTATTCTGAACATGCATGCATATACATGTATTCATGTCGGAGATTTTGCATTTGTATACTGTTAGGTTATAATCATGATATCAGGGACCTATATACTAATACTAGTGTATACTTTACTAGTATATAGGTCCCTGATGATATGAATTAAGGGGAAGAAGGACCTTTAGCCGAAAAAATATCTGTTGTTCAATTTTTTTTTCATATTTTGTATATCTCTAATTTAGTATGTCCCACGTCATACCTTAAAGCAGATTCGAGGGGTTTTAAAACAGTTCGTGGACTAGCGCAATAAAATTAAAACCGCTTTAGTTACATCAGTGAATTTTGAAATATCTATTCAGCATCATCTTATCTATGTAAAGAATAAACCATGAATCATAAATTTTAATTTTCAATAAATTAGTAAATAATGTTTTTGTAAGCAATGGTCTGTCCACCCTTAAAACAGCAAGGCGGATTTTTGTCCTTACTCAGCTCCAGGGAATCTCATCAAAATAAGTGTTTGAGGTAGAAGACACGGACATTGAAAAACAATGACGTTGTCGGACGTCATGAAACTAAACGGCGACAGCGCCGGGTGATCATATAATGTCGTTTTTATTTTATAATAATTTGGCAAATAATGAACGTATCAAGTTAAAATTTTCACATTTCTTTTTGTTTTATGTTCCATTTAAAATTTAAAGGCACAGACTACATAGTTCCAATTTTATAGCCTCAGTCCACGAACTTTTTGATAACCCCTCATATATCAATAGGTTTCGATCTTATTTATGAGATATTGAGGGACAAATACTATGCCTCACAGTGTCTAGGTAAATTTTTGATTCTCCATGTTTCTGGGCCCATTACATTGTACTCGGTCGATAATGGAATTTTTTCAGCAAAGATAAAAAAAAATGTCAGCAAACTTGTGTCTTTTAAAATATTTCAGATTATGAATAGGATTAAAAATTCGAAAAAGCAAGATTCATTTGTCACACCGCATCTGGAGACGGAAAATTACGTACTTTTTAAGACAATTTAAACAACAACAAAATTAATTTGCGAAAAATCCTATCATTCAATGTTTGAAAATTTACGTTGAATTCAAGTTTGTTATGTTATTAATTAACTGTAAAAATATCGATTGGTGAAGCTGAGCTCAATTTTGCACAGGGCATAGTTAAACAAGACATGAGCAAGAGAAAAACGTGTCATGTTTACATTTCTCAAGTACAGGAAAATCCAACTATGACGTCACACATTTGGGAAATAAGACATAGCTACAAAATATTTCCGTCAGAAACCATGTAAAAATATTTGTTGTGTTCTCTAATTCACAAAATACCCCACCATGTACTGATCATGACCCGTTTTTATGGTATTAATACAACCCGTGTTTTACTGTCTTATAATCTTACTGTACTAAGAGATCCACTATGACATCAACAACTTGTTGGACGTGCAGTGTAGGGAAACAGAAGAGTGGATCAATCTATTCTGTAATTTGATAATATTTGCAAGAAAGTTTGAATGTTTATAGATATTTTTATATATACAAGATGGTGAACTCAAACAAACAGTCAAAAAATTATACAAGTACTGTATGTGGTTTCAATCTTGTTTTGTACACATTTTATCAGAGATTATGATGTAATTAAACTGAGTCATGTGACCATACATCCTTCATCCCCTTAATCTGTGAACATGGTTAATATAATAAAACATAAATTCTATCAATTCTACTTTGAGCTCTTTCCGCTCTAGTACATTTGAAAAGCTTTTCAATGCCCTTTTACATGTTTTACTGGTTTAAAACAGAAAATTCATCTTGTAAAAGGTGGTCATGACTGATGTATGTAAATACTTTAATCTTTTGACTATACTCTGCCTAGTTAAAGGCAAATATAAAAGCAAACACATTAGAAATTAATGATCACAACTATTTAATTTGTCACCAGGAAGATACAGAGCTTTTAAAATGTCAGCTCTTAATTGCTAGTAGAAAGTATAATGTTATCATGTCCATGATAGTACAATCAATTGTATAGTTCCTGGCAAACACAGCCAGGTACAAACAAACATCTTGACATTTAAGTTCTTTTGGCATTTGATTCTTATTATGACTTGCTACTTACTAAGGTTTTCCATTTTGATTTTGAGCAAAACAACAACATAATTCTCAGCTTTGATTTATGTACTATGTGTACTTGTGCACTCTTAATATATGTAACAATAACAATGTACATGACTCAAGAAATCCAATGTGTTGGACAATTTTAACTGACCAATTTTAGGTTCAAAGTCCAAACACCTCGTCATGTACGTAGTTCAAATCCATTCCAAGCTTTAAAAAATTTAATAAATTTTTGATATGTTCATGTTATCAAATGGCGTAAATAACAAAGAGATAAATAAATTTAAATATAGGTAGACATGGTAGATTTTAAGATTTTCAAAATGAAAATTGAAAAGTAAACAACTATATATGTGATAATTCTAAAACAGAGATAATTATAACCCAAGTTAATTGATATCATAAGGAAGTTGATTTGTCATGTTTACTGTTTACTAAGCTATCACAGCGTTAAGGGGGAAATAGTGTGATCTATTGATAATTATTTTGATTGTTTTGCAGGTGTGGGTTATGGTATGGTCATCATCTCGGGCATTGTTTGTGTTTACTACAACATCATCATAACCTGGACCATTTATTTTCTGTACCACTCGTTCAGCGCTCTCCTGCCATGGAGCACATGTAATAATGAATGGAACACAGAGAAATGTTACATTCGCAGTAAGCAGATTAATTATGCCAGGATTAATGGGACGATTGGCTACAATGCCTCCAATATAAACATCACAGACTTCTCCTTGGACATAAATGTGACATCAGCCAACCTAACAAACAATGGGTCGGCATCAGATGCATCCAGCAAGGTCACAGCGAGCGAAGAGTTCTGGCAGTAAGGATTCCATAAAACTATAATAATAATCGTGGTGAATCATTCCAATGTAGCCAGTATCCATTTTAACAAAGCACCATATTTTTTATCTAACAACTATTTTGAAGCATGAACATGAATAAGAGAGAGATTTGAAAAGAAAAGTAAAGATAACACATTAGTTAATCTGGGTGACATCATGAGTTAGCAGAAACAAAAAAATAATAAAACAGTTTAACAATGTACAGCTATAGCCAGTCTTTGAGTCGAATTTGAATTATTTTAGGAATGAGGTGTTACAGATCACAGAGGGTATAGAGAACCTGGGTGTTGTCCGCTGGGAGCTTCTCATCTGTCTGGCTATTGCTTGGATTGTCGTGTTCCTGTGCTTGTGCAAGGGAGTTAAATCTTCTGGAAAGGCAAGTAGAATAAAATATCAGATACATGTATATGGTATTTTAAAATTTTGATAACATTCATGAATCTCAACAAGCTACATGATATCTAACTCTATATTCTCATTGTATGATGGTGATCCGTTTATGGATTTAAGTTTAACTTTAGGTTCAATTTTAGTTTATTTTATTAAATGCAACAAAGAGCAAAGTATCTAGGGACATTTATAGGTACATGTAATTATTGTAAATAATAATTATTAGAATCTCCTTTTTATTTTATCTAGGTAGTGTATGTGACGGCCACTTTCCCCTATCTGGTTCTGATAATTCTGTTTATCCGAGGGGTCACTCTACCTGGTGCTGGAGCCGGGATTTACTTCTACCTGGTTCCTGAGTGGGAAAAACTTCTCACATTCAAGGTTTGTCACAGTGGGAAAAATTCATTTTACAGACATGGATAGCAAGTAAAAGAAGTATTCTATGAAATTTTGGCTTAAAATTATGCCTGATTCCAAAGTATTCTGTAAATTCTTCAAAATAGGTGTGGGGAGATGCAGCAGTTCAGATTTTCTACTCGGTTGGAATGGCCTGGGGAGGTCTTATCACAATGGCCAGCTTCAACAAATTCAACAACAACTGTTACCGGGACGCCATGATTGTCCCCCTTATTAACTGTGGCACCAGTGTGTTTGCCGGCCTGGTCATCTTCTCTGTCCTGGGGTTCATGTCTTATGAGACGGGGGTCGATATCGATAAAGTAGTCACCCAGGGTAGGTGTATGATGTTATTAAAGATCTAGATGTTCTAATGTGAACCAAAACTGAATGCATTTTTAAATGGCTAGTAAATAAATGTGTGTTAAGTAGAAAATGCATAAATAAGAAAAAATCAACATTGTGGGAGCCAGTGTAATGCTGGGGATGAAAGAATCTCATTTTATATGTAAACCTGATGAAATCAAGTTAATTTAAATGATTTATGTTATTAGATTGAACTGCAACTGTTATTTGTTATTTTCAGGACCTGGTTTGACCTTTGTGGCCTATCTCAGAAGTATTTGATCGCTTGAAACTGCCCATCTCCACTACCGTATATGTGGGCTGTACGATGCCTATTCGGTTGTTTTTTTGCTCATCAGTGTTGGATTTGCTATTGACCCGCTTATAAGTCATTACAATTTTTTTGCCAAAATTTGACAATTGCATGTAGACTTAACATAGCACTTTTCAATAATGATGAAAACAACTATAGGTATGATAAGAAATTTTTAAAAAATTATTAAAATATGTTTTTACTTTATATATATAAAAGAATACATAAATGCTTATATACAGGTAATTTCTTTGATAATCGTATGAAATTCAAATAAGATACTACTTTTTCAGAAAAGTATTCTGATATGACTCGCCTATAAGACATGAGTGACCAATATTTAACTCCCAAAATACCGACTTATAAGTGAGTATATACGGTATATAACTAAACAAATTTACTCTTGATTTCTCAAACTCTTAATCTCTCGAAATCCTTGATCCCTCGAAGTCAAAATGCAGTCCCGCTATGCATATTTTATATTGAAATTTACCCTCGATACCTCGAAGTGATCATGTGTATACAAAGTTAAATAATTAGCAACTTTACCTGGAC